GTTGTTTCTCACCCGATTACCATGCTAGGATTTAAACCAGTACTACGGGGTGGTACAGATCTTCTTGACCGTTCTTTCCAGGTACTCTAGGTTTTGGGCATGCAGCATGACTGAAAACTTCACCTGTGCCAACACAGAATGTCCGGGTGAGGCACCCAGGGGAGCTGAGCCTGAGCGCTGGGACATCAGGAAGGCTCAGCGGAGGCCACTGCACACTGCCCTCGGGGAAAGGAAGGCCATGCGTGAACAGACAGTGCACGTCACCACATGACAATATGAAAAGATCCAGTCTACTTGCAGGTCGACTGAAAGACAAGGTATTAAAAGCACTAGCTTTAAAAGACCATTTATTAATCTTACGTACAATTCATGTTAAAATATTTACCGGTTTATTATCGATAGGTTACTTTCTTTGAGAGAGACTTTAGCACTCACTACCACCTCATACCACTTTTGTGTAAGGTATCTTTTGTTACAGGTATCTCGTAACTTTTCATCTCCCTAGACGTTTTGAACCAGACGCGGTTGTTCTAGGCAGTTTCAGTGGCAGCCCATTTGCAGGCTTTCTAGAAAGTTGCTCATCTCTGAGAAAAGGTCCCATGGACTTTCTCGGCTACTACCACATACAAGCTCCTAAATAAGCTACTGTAAAAAGCACACGCTGGCACAAACAACGGTGATACTGAGCAGCCCTCATGCGTATGCTCATAATTTAATGGAAAAAGTACAAATACAAAGCAGTGATTAAATAATGAAAACACTGGTTTAATTGAACAGTAACTGGACTCCTTCACGAAGCAGTCATGGGGAACAGTGAGGCGCCACAAGGATTATTTATGAAGAATGTATTGCAGACCTGATTTTACATCAAATAGCAAACACCCTCCAGATTGAGCAGTTCCTTATACACACGTTGCTAGACCACCAGATGAGATAAGTTTTCTATAACTTGTGTTTTTTGCATGGCTCTAAAAGGTTCATAATGCTGTAATTTACTTAATTTACATAAAGGTATAAAAAAATAAATACTGCCATGCATATCCTGTTGACACTTAAAAACCCACAAATAAATAACCTGAAACGCCGTCTAGAGAGACTGTCTCTACATACTTAATGTTAACTATGGAGGTCTCCATCCAGCAAGCCCGAATTTTTACAGCAGCCTCAAACTGGAAAAAGCTTCAAAATAAACCTAACTGAATGCCCGTAAGTGACTGACTGAAAATACAAAGGTAAAGGAAACAATACCAGCCCCAAATGGAGTGCAGAGAGACACCTTTTCACTGCAGGCTTTAACTGAAAGGTCTGTGAATGAACGAAGTCTTTTCTAAGGGCATGCTGGAAACACGAAAAGTGAAATGACAGAAAGTAGTCTTTTCTTGGGCAACTACTTAGCCTATTTCAGTATCCTGAAAACTCCCTGGGTTAAGACTCTTGTGGTTAAAAACAGAGACAAGCGTTTATAAAACCTCGTCGGGTTCCTCATTAAAGCTGAAGTCACACACCAGAGACAAATGGTCGGAAGGGTAATGGAAGGACGGGAGCCGATTGGGTCCAATTTGTTCCTCAGTGAGCAAGTCGAGCGCCGACCTCACACTGAGCGTGTGTTGGGAGTACCATATGTAGTCCAGGGTGTGCCTGCACTCCCCCGAGGTCCGGATCTTCCAGGTGGTATACGGCGGCTCGGACTGTCCATCGGCACTCAGCAGCTTGTAGGCGCTGTTCAGATTGAGGCTGGAGGAAGCAAAGTGTTTATAGACCTCTTCAGTGGGCTCTGCATTGAAGTCCCCACAGATGATCAGGGGAATCTTGGCTCCCTGGGTGATGCTCTGCAGGTTCTGGAGAAGGTCACAGCCCTGGGCTGATCGAAACCGCTCCCAGCCGGTGCGTGCTTTCAAGTGGGTGACGGCGATGCAAAACTGTCGCCCTGATTCCTTGCACTCTAGGGTCTGGGCAATGGCCACCTGGTTGGTTTTCAGCGTCATGGCTGTGAGCCGAATATTGGCACTGTTGACCAGCTTGAATCGGTTCTGGAGGAAAAACAAGGCACAGCCGTCTGGTCCGTTGTTGTGTTCGACATCCAGACAAGGTGACCAGGGCTTGGGGAAGAACGTGCCTTGGTAGCCCAATCGACCGAGGAGCGGCTGGAAAGTGTCGAAATAGTGGTCCACCTCCTGGAGGCACAGGATGTCGGGCTGGTAGGCTAGGATTTCTTCTAGGATGAGGCATTTCCGTTCCTCCCACTTGAGTGCTTCCACAGGGCACTGGACGAAGTTGTCTTTGCCTTCTCCAAGAGCTGAAAAGAAAAAGCCAGCAGCTGTCAGCTACTCCAGAATCATGACCTCAAAAGACCCAGGAGTCACCCTAGGTTTGGCCTCCACAAGACCCTCAGGCCGTCTGTCCCCTGAGCTCCCTCCATATGCTCTGGTGGCTTCTCTGAACTACTCACCCACC